TGATCACCAAGCGCGGTATTGAGGCAAACCCCAAAGGTGGACGCGATCCGGCGCCTCCTACCCCCGCGCACGCCCAACGAGGTGCACAGCCTGAACGGGCGTATGGCCGCCTTAGGGCGCTTCATACCCCGCTCGGCAGACAAGGGGGCATCGTTCTTCTGCGTGCTGAGGAAGGCCGCGATTCAAATGGACGGAGGAATGTGATGAGGTCTTTGAGCAGTTAAAGATCCTGCTAACAGCACCCACCGTAATGACCGCACCAAAGAAAGGAGAGATGCTCTACCTTTACATTGCGGTCTCGAGAACGGCAGTGAGAGCGGTGCTCGTGTCGAAGGAAGGGGGAATGGGGAGGAGAGATCGGTGTACTACGTAAGCAAGGTGATGGCGGGGCCCGAGACACGCTAAGCGCCCATTGAGTAGGCAGGTTTGGCAGTCGTAACGGCGGCCGAGAAGTTGCGTCCCTACTTCCAGGCGCACCCAGTGACGATCCTCACGAACTTTCCGTTGAGAAGCACATTGGGGTCGATGGATGTCGCGGGACGCATGGTGAAGTGGGCGGTGCAACTAAGCGAGTACAACATATGCTATGCGCCCCGCCCCGCGATAAAAGTGCAGGTCTTAGCAGAGTTTGTGGAAGAAGGAGTAGTGTGCGCAGTAGAGAAAGAGGAAGAAGTCTGGCAAGTGTATGTGGACGGTGCGGCAAGTAGGACATGCTCCTGAGCGGGGGTAGTAGTGGTGAACCATCTGGGGGCCACGCACGAATTAGCCATGCGCTTCACAACCTTAAAAACCAACAATGCGGCGGAGTATGAGGCTGTCATCGGAGAACTAAACACGACAAGGGAACTCGGAGCTCAAAAAGTCCAACTCCGGTCGGACTCCGCATTGGTGGTGAATCAGTTGAATGGCGTGTATGAGGTCAAGGAAGAAGCTCTGAGCGCCTATGTGACTCTGGTAAGATCCAAAGGCGCGTGGTTTAAGAGTGTTGAATTCCTCCATGTCCCTAGAGAGGAGAATGCTCATGCGAACGCCCTCTCCAAGCTAGCCACAGCAACTAACTTCGACGAAGACAGACAAGTCATCATCCCCAAGGAACACCCCGAGGGCGAATCAACGATAGGTGCAATCGTCGAAGATACAGAGAGGGAAGGAAGTTGGATGGCACCGATCAGGGCATACTTAGTGCAGGGGACTCTCCCGAAAGACAGCAGGGCGGCGTGGCAAGTAAAGCGAAAAGCTGCGCATTGCACGTTGATCAACGGTCAGAGTAAAAGCGTTCACACTCAGGTGTCTACCTAAGGTGCCTTATTGAGGCGGAATGAAAAGAGGCAATCGGGGAAGTGCATCAAGGCGCCCGCGGCATGCATGCAGGGGCGCGGAGCTTGGAGAAAATCTTGTTGAGACAGGGATATTACTGGCCAACCATCCGAGCGGATGCGAAGAAGCACGTTGCCACCTGCCACCAGTGTCAAATACATGCCAATGACATTTACATCCCAGCAGCCCCTATGCGGGTGACTGTGGGCGCATGGACCTTATCACAATGGGGTATGGACTTGTTGGGCCCATTCCCCAAAGCACCCAGGAAGATGAAGTACTTGATAGTGACGGTGGACTACTTCTCCAAGTGGATTGAGGCCGAGCCCCTTACGTCCATAACACAAGCGCAGGTGCGTTGGTTCACAAATAGGAACATTTTCACTCGGTTTGGGATATTGGAGGCAATTGTAGCCGACCATGGTAAGCAGTTTGATTGCAAGAAGTTCATAGACTTCTGTGATGAGAAGAGTGTGATATTGCTCTTCTCATAGGTGTCGTATTTCCAAGCGAATAGACAGGCGGAAGCTGCCAACAAGAGCATACTGCATGGCTTGCACACAAGACTGCTAGGCGCAAAGAGCAGGTGGGTCGAGGAGCTCCCGAGCGTGCTATGGGCGCATCGGGCGACCTACAAGGTGGCAACGGGAGAATCCTGATTCGCACTCACATACAAGAGCGAGGCGGTCATCCCAGTGGAGTTTCGCATGCCTACCTTCAGGTTAGCGAACTACGAGGCGCATGCCAATGAGGAAGAGCAAGTACATAACTTGGACATGCTCGAAGAGCGGCGAGATGTTTCCTCCATCCAATTGGAAGCTATGAAGTGGCAGGTCGTCAGGTATTACGACCAGAAGATGTGTCCTCATCGGATAAGGCAAGGGAGCTTGGTGTTGAAAAGGGATTTCAGAGCGAAAGCCAGTGAAGGAAAACTCGCGCCCAAACGGAATGGACCTTACCGTGTTCGTGAGGTGGTGGGGCCTGCCACGATTAAACTGGAACGCCTGGGAGGCAAGAGCATCAAGCGTACGTGGAATGCACAAAATCTTAAAGTTTACCATGGTAAGGGGGACGGGGAGACATCAGAGTAGGCGTGGGCAGTAGAATATAACAGACGCGCATATTTTGGTCGGAGGCGTGCTGCACCTTTTGATGTGCGTGTTTTTGTGTAAAGTGGGGGTAATGATAGTAGGCATGTAAAGCGCCCTAACTACGTTGCGCCCTTACTTTTGTTCAGATGGTAATTCCAAAAGCGCCCTCCCAGTTGCGCCCTGTGTTTATAAAATTGAAATCGTAATGCTCCATCTATGACAATGCGCCCTTTATTTGGGGAAATACAATTTTAAAGCACCTCACTGTATTGTGCCCTATACACATAAACACGTGTAAAGAGCCCTAACTACATGCGCCCAAGGGAAGATTCGTTAAAATTTAATGGCCACCAAGGTAAGTATAAAGCTCCTTAACTACATGCGCCCCAGCAAATACACGTTAAGACTAAAGGGTCATTAAGACGAGTATAAAGCGCCCTAGATGCATGCGCCTCAACTAAGATACGTCCGAATTGAATGCGAAAACATTGCGCGAAAAGGAATGGATGATCATATGCCAAAGCTAAACATACTTCAAATTTAGAATTCGGTACGACAAGAGGTAAGGGGCACATGCGCCTTCCTTACGCAAAAAAAAAAAAAAAGGCGTGCAAGAAGGAAATAGGCTTCACTCCTCGATGTCTATCTTCTCATCATCCGCTTCACCCTCCACGTCTCCCCCGCCGGCTCCATCACTGGGCGCAGTGCCACCCGCAAGCGATTCAGGATCGGCGTCCGCCGCTGCGTCTTCTTCGACTGAAGCTGCCGCTTCAGAGGCGCTTGACTGGTTCTCCATGACAGACACGACATACTCAATAAGAGAAATCGCGTCGATCACCACATCAGGATGATCCGCGTGAAACTTGGCCCGCAGCGTCTCCACCGTGTTGATCATAGTGTTAGCCTGATGATCCTTGCCCGCGATCGATTCCGGATAGTTGGCAAGGTCCTGGTTCAGTTGTTGCACGGCGGCCTGGGACCTCTTCAGCTCATGCTTGTAGTGCGACCGGGACTTCTTCAGCTTCTTATTGGCCTCCTCCAGATTGTCGATAGTTTGGCGGAGTACACTTTTCTCCTCCAACAAGGCGTCGCGCTCCCACGCAAGATCTGCTTACCCCTCAATGAGCTCCTTCTCCACTCTTTCACGCTCGATCTTGTTCGCCTCGGCCTGCACCCTAGTCTCCTCTTCAACCTCCGCGCGACCTTTGAGGCGCTCGGTTTCTAACTTTGCCTCCAAATCGGACTTGGAGGCGTCCAGATCTGCGCGCAGGCGCTCAGCGGAGACGGAGGCGTCTGTGCCCTCTTGAGCCACCTTAGCAATCTCTCGGGTGGTGGCCCTCACACAAGAGCATCATCTAAGGAGCACAACAACACAATCAAGCAGTTAGTAACAAAGGACGTAAGAAATACGAAACATGACAAGGGAAGGTTCATGCGCCTCATCACAAAAGCGTTACATGGACGCTCATGTTGGTCAACTTGAGTCAGGGCTTCGAGGAGATCAGGCCATCCGGGTGCTCGACGACGTCGTAGTGGGACCTCTCCATTTGAACGTGTTAGTGGAGTCGAGAGCGAGACTCAGACAGCAATTCCCTTCTTTGATCGATCAGTTGTATCCCTGAAAACCCTAGCTGCGATTTTGGTAGAATCAAGTGAAAGAAGGTGAAATGAAATAAAACTCGAATCGACGAGAAGAGTAAAGCAGCTCCCTTTCTTGTTAATCAAAACGACACCAAAATAGAAGCTAACTCCGAGATTGGTTGGGCTCAGTTTTATTTTAGATTCGTCGATTTAAACAGGCCTAACTTTGTTACTCTCCACGCTGCGTTTTAATAACTTAGTTCCCTTCTCCTTTCTTCCAACAGGTCGATCAAACTTTGTTCTGCATAACACTCAGAAGCACACTAAATCAAGAACATCAATGAAAATTGGAAATAAACAAAGCACAACAGAAATGTAAATAACACGCGTGACACAGTATTTTTACGTGGTATCCGATACTAATAAATTCAGTATCGACTAATCCACGGTCAAAGGTACTCCTCTTGAGTCCTTTGACGTAATACTATGATCTTTGGTTTGTGTTTACACTGTTACAGCTTTTGATCCCAAGATGACTCCTTGTCACTCTGATCAGAATCGCCCAGAACTTACAGCTCCCCGCTGTTGTTCAACTCGATCAATCTAATTCCCACAAGCTCTCTCCCCGACAGCTCTCTTCTTCTCTAATCAAAACCTCAACAACACCCTTTGCCTCTGTTTTGAATTTTGCAAGAAGAACCCTCTTTGCCTATCCTCAATCACTCTATATATATTCATTCTTTTAGCCGTTGATGATTTGCTACCTTTACATCAGTTGATTTTGATTTGATCTTGATTAGTTCCTTCCATAATTGGCTCTCGAAAATCAGCCTTTCCCTTCTGATCAAATTCTTCCACTTTCCTTAGTTTGAGCCTGCACAAGCTTGCCCATCTTCTTCCAACATTCTCCCCCTAAGCTTGTCAGTGGCTCAACTCAGCAACCTGCACACATCTAACAAACAGTGGGTGCAGCCTGTTCCAAAAAGAATATTAAACTAACACAGCTTCATTTATTCATCTTGTCTTTTATTCATCTTTCTCAAATTTCTAGATCAAAACAAAATCCTCGACACTAACTCAACCATCACAGCAGACCATCGCACAACTACACTCAGTTCCTAGACCTTAGACACTTCTGGTAGACTTTCTTCTAGAAGGGATAATTTGGAGGCGAGACATAGCTTGAAACTCGATCATCCTCATCACCAGAATGAGAGTCAGGACTGATTGGGTCACTAATTTGATTAGATTCGTAGATAAACTTTGGCAACATCAAATCTTTTTCAATCAGCATCCTCCTTTTTGGGCCGCTCTTGGCACTGGCCTCTTGCTTGTATGCTGCAGCTGCTGCATTGACCAAGGCCGAAGAAACCATTTGTTGCTGACTGGCCACTCCCCCTGAGCCAGTGATAGGCTTACGGGGACCAACCAAGGCATCCACACGTTCGAGAACATGTTGAGGACGCAAGTCATCGAGCACATCGCACACAATGACTTTGTCACGCAAATCAATCTCCAACCGGTACAGGAGACGAGTAATTTGGGGACCGAATGCCAGCGGACCACTATAGTACTCCGACCCAAACTTGATCATATGCTGGAACATGAGAGAGGCGTAGCTAATACGACGACCAGCCCGCGCATTAAAGATCACCCAGAGATCAGGGGAATGGATAAGATCTGTGGCGAGATCACGAGGTAGAAACCATCGAGTGAGAAAGAAAAACAGGACCTTGAGGTCGTCTAGGAGTTTCCCAGCAGCAAGTGGGGAGGCGAACCAGCGTCCTATATCACGCGTCAGAGAAGCAAGAGCGTGATCAAACCGGAAGCCAAAATGTTGGAATTCACTGTCCGTGCCAGCCCTAATCCCAGCATGGGGTATTTCCAGCACTGATGCCAGCATCTCAGGGGTCACTTTGATTTCATAATCATAGACTAGAGTAGTGAAGAAGGAAGGATCACTTCCTGGACCCCTGCGAAGATTGACATAAAAGAGACGTACGGCCTCAGGGCATTGACTGAACCTCAGGTCAGACACCAGAGATTCCCATCCTAACTTATGAAGATAGGCAGGAATATTCATGTCGTATTTGGAGAAAGCAGTTGCCTGAATGGAGAATGATGGATAAAGAGGTCGATCGCGGAAGTGACGAAGGTACCGAGAATAGGTGGCAGCATTCCTAAAACTCTGATTTTTGAACAGAACAGATGACTTCAGCTGAGCTTGGAAGATGCCATGGTGAAAGGAAGTGTTTGATTTCTGTTTCTGCTCAAGATAAGTCAAGGGGAAGTAGAAGGGAGTGGGGAAGACGAAGGGATGTGACTAGGGTTATAAGGGCTGAGAACCATTGAATCTGGAGGAAACTCTTTGAGTGGAAGGGAAAGAATCAGCACGAGAGGGAAAGAATCAACAAATAATCATCAAATTTTGTTAATTTCAATCAAATTTTGTTATATTCAATCATATCCGAGAAAACAAGGCAAGAAAATATGTTATATTCAATCAAGTTTTGTTAATTTCTTCTTGAGTAAACATGCCAAGTTCATGTCAAATTGGTAAGAATTTATCAGCACTTAAGGGTTTTGTAAAAATATCCGCCCATTGCATCTCTGTATTAATGAATTCTAGGTGAATTTTCCCATCTTGAATGAGATCACGAATAAAATGATACCGGACCTCAATATGCTTAGTTCTCGAGTGTTGAATAGGATTTTTAGTCATATTGATTGGACTCGTGTTATCACACAATATTGGAAGAGATCCTATACTAAGGCCATAATCCTGAAGCTGGTACTTCAACCATAACAGTTGAGTACATCCTAACCCTGCTGCAATATACTCTGCCTCGGCAGTTGATAAGGCAACAGAACTCTGTTTCTTACTGGCCCAGGAAACTAGTGACGTGCCAAGAAAATGGCACATTCCAGAAGTACTTTTTCTATCAGCTACACAGCCAGCATAATCAGAGTCACTGTATCCTAATAACTCAAGGCTAGATTCACATGAATACCACAACCCAAGTGAACTAGTACCAGAAAGATAACGAAAAATACGTTTTACTGCAGTTAAATGTCTAAGTTTAGGAATACTCTGAAATCTAGCACAAGCACACACACTATACATGATGTCAGGCCTGCTGGCAGTCAAATAGAGCAGAGAGTCAATCATTCCACGATATAACTTATCACTAACTGATTCTCCTGATTCATCCAATGAAAGTTTTACTGTGGAACCCATTGGTGTAACTGCAGATTTCAAGTTTTTAAGATCAAATCGTTCAAGCATGTTATTTAAGTACTTTGTCTGACTTATGAAAGTTCCTTTGCTAGTTTGCTGTATTTGCAGACCTAGGAAGTAAGTTAGTTCCCCCATTAAACTCATCTCAAACACCCCTTTCATAGCTATCTCAAACTGTTTGCACATTTCTTGATTAGATGACCCAAAGATTATATCGTCTACATACACTTGAACAAGCATAGTGTGACCATTTAGACTTTTAATGAATAAAGTTTTATCCACTGAACCTCTTCGAAAACCATCCAACATTAAGAAATTACTTAGCTTATCATACCAAGCTCTAGGAGCTTGCTTTAATCCATATAAAGCCTTGTTAAGTTTGTATACATGGTTAGGAAATTTGTGGTTTTCAAACCCAGGAGGTTGAGCAACATAGACTTCTTCTTTTAAATCACCATTAAGAAAAGCACTTTTGACATCCATCTGATAAAGTTTGAAATTTTGAGAGGCAGCATATGCACACAACAGTCTGATGGCTTCTAATCTAGCCACAGGAGAAAAAGATTCATCAAAATCAATTCCTTCTTCCTGATCATACCCCTGTGCTACTAGTCTAGACTTATTCCTAGTTATGTCACCAATTTCATCAGTTTTGTTTTTATAGACCCACTTAGTTCCAATTATAGGTTTATCCTCTGGTTTTGGAACCAATTCCCAGACATTCAGTCTTTCAAAATATCCTATTTCATCTTGCATAGAGGCTGTCCAGAATTCATCACTCAGAGCCTCCTTGATATTTTTAGGTACTAGAAGAGACACAAAGGCAGTTTGTATGGAGGATGATTTAGAACGAGTTAACATACCTTCTTTCAGATCACCAATGACCTGAGATGATGGATGCCTTCTTTGAATGTGCAAGGGGGCTGCTATTACTCTGTTCCCATCAGTCTCAGATGTGTGTTCTTTAACTGTAGGTTCTTGTGAACTTTCTTTTCTCATATCCTCTTCAGCTTGATCTGCTTGACTTAATTTGTATGATCTTCCTAGCCCAAGATCATCATCTTCATCAATTTGATCTGCACACTTACTAGAGGAATCATCAAATACCACGTTTATGGACTCCTCAACCTTGAGGGTCCGTTTGTTATATACTCTAAAAGCCTTACTATGAACAGAATACCCCAAGAAAATTGCTTCATCAGACTTGGAGTCAAATTTTCCTAAGTTATCTTTGGTATTCAGAACAAAACACCTACATGCGAATGGATGAAAGTATCCCACATTTGGTTTTCTGTTTTTCCACAGCTCATATAGTGTTTTGTTTAGTTTAGACCTAATTAACCCTCTATTAATAATATAGCATGCAGTGTTTATGGCTTCTGCCCAAAAATGCTTAGGCAGGCCATAATCATTCAACATTGTCCTGGCTATATCTATTAAGGTACGATTTTTCCTTTCTACTACTCCATTTTGCTGTGGAGTTCTAGGGGCAGAGAAATTATGAAAGATTCCTGTTTCATCACAGAATTTATCAAAGCTGTCAGATATGAACTCTCCCCCGTGATCACTTCTTATTCTTACAATTCTGGTTCCCTTTTCATTTTCTAGTCGTTTAATCAGATTTTTAAATTGCACAAATGTCTCTCCTTTGTTTGATAAAAATAGAACCCATGTAAACCTAGAATAATCATCTACTACAACACAAGCATATTATTTTCCACCAAGACTCATAACATTACTAGGACTAAAGAGATCCAGATGTAGTAATTCTAGTGGTTTAGATGTAGAGATTACAAGTTTACTTTTAAAGGTGGATCTGACTTGTTTTCCTCTTGTGCACGCTTCACAAAAGAATTCCTTTCTACTGCTGATTTTAGGTATTCCAGTTACACTTCCCAAACTAATTAGTTTGTCTAATGACCCTACACTGATATGGCCCATCTTCCTATGCCATTCTAGTTGTTCATCCTTATCTACAGTTACCAAACACATCTCATTGAAATCATTTTTATTATTCAGGTTTATGCAGAATAGTTTTCCTTTCCTTCTACCTGTAAACAGTATTTTTCCGCTCTCAATATTCTCAACATAGCATTTGTTAGGTTCGAAAATTACTCTATTTGTCTCTCCACACATTTGACTGATTGAGAACAAGTTATGTTTAAGCCCATCAACCCACATTACGTTAGTTATAGTTGGTCCTGATCCAATTTCTCCCTTCCCTAAAACATCAGTGCAATAGTTATCCCCAAAATAAACCTTACCTTTCTTACCCTTAGTCAATTTAGAGAAGAGTTTTTCATTTCCTATCATGTGGTGTGAGCAGCCACTGTCTAGGATCCATTCACTATCTTCCATGCTCACTTGGAAGCAGACCTGGACACATAAATGTTTTATTTGGTTTTAGGTATCCATACCAATTTGGATACTCTACCTTTTATCTTAGCATTAGTGTAGTTATAACTCATATGTCCTGTTGTATGACAGGCAAAGCACACTGTTTCTTTTAGTCTGGTTTCCTTAGCTATTCGTTTCTGACAATGTGAAATGTAGTGTCCTAGTCCATGACAATAAAAGCACTCAGGAGTTGATCTTTTATAGTTTGTCTTTGTTTCTAATGGCCTTTTGTGTTTTGTACGCAGGTGATTATTGTTTTTCTGACCTTTAGAAACTTCTTTATCTAGTACAACATTTCTTCTTAAGGCTTCTTCCAATCTTCTATCTGATTCTAGTTTTTCCTTTTTCAGTTCATTGTAATTCTTAGATAGCTCCTCAAATTCTTATTTCATTTTAACATGTTTTGATTTAATTCGTGCAAAATCTAACCGAATATCCCTAATGGTTTCTATCAATTGACCATCATCATCACATGAATCAGAATAATAGTTAAGATTACTTACCTGTGAAGCTTCCACATCATCTTCACTTTCGTCCAAAGCCATGTAAGCTTCATATTTGGGGTCGACTTCCTCCTCTTCATCCTCACTGCAGCTCCAGGTGGCTGTGTATGCTTTCTCCCGTTTCATTTGTGGACACTCTGCTTTGATGTGTCCACTTCTTCCACACTTGAAACATCCAGCTGACGATCCACCCTTGTTGTCATTGCTGCTGAACTCTCGTCTCATTCTAGGATTGGCCCTGAGAATTTTCCCTTGCTCCTTTTCTGAATCAGCTTCTCTTGTACGATTGGGAAAGCCTCCTTTTCTTTTCTCTTTGCGTAGTCTGAGTAACTTGGCCACATGCTTACTTAACATGGCCAGCTCTTCATCTTCCATGTCTTCCAGACAATCAAATTCTTCTTCTGGTGCTGACGCCTTGAATGCAATACTCTTCTTTTCTTTTCGATTCTCCTCTCCTTCTTCTCTCCTGAGTTTTTCTTCGTGTGTTATTAATGAACCCATAAGTTCATCTAGGCTCAGCTTCATTAAATCCTTTGATTCTTCGATTGCAGTAACCTTAGGAGTCCACCGTTTTGGGAGAGCCCAAAGAACTTTCCTCACCAGATCTCCGCTGCCATACTCTACACCCAGATTCCTCAAGCTGTGCACTATAGTGGTGAACCTGTCGTGCATTTCCTTGATGGTTTCCTCTGGCTTCATCACAAAGGATTCGAAATCCTGCTTCAATCGATTTATTCTGGATACTTTGACATGACTAGTGCCTTCATGAGCCACTTGCAACTTATCCCATATCTCCTTTGCGGTTTTGCATCCGGAGACCCGATGATATTCTTCCGGGCCCAACGCGCAATACATGAGGTTTGTCGCTTTTGAATTCAGTTGAAAGTTCAGCTTATCTTCGTCGGACCATTTACCTCGTGCCTCCTTCACCTCAAGTGGTCCATCTAGCACAATACTCCAGAGATCAGGATCGGTCGATCCTATGAACAGCTCCATGCGATTGCGCCAGTAGCCATAGTGCACTCCTTCGAATCTTGGCGGCCTAGTCTGAGAAAATCTGTCGGCCATGAACACTCCTCCGATGCTTCCACTCGAACTCATTTCCTCCGAAGGTAGTTACTCCTTGTTCGTCGGAGACGGGCTCTGATACCACGTGTTAGTGG